GAAGAAGAAGAAGAATAGATATATACCCCGCCCTTTGCTCAGAGTCTCAGAGTGGCTTACAAACTCCTTTCCCTTCCCACAACAGACACCCTGTGAGGTAGGTGGGGCTGAGAGAGCTCTTTCCAGAACTGCTCTTTCAAGGACATCTCTCGTCAGAAGTATGGCTTGCCCATGGTCATCCAGCAGCTGCAAGTGGAGGCGTGGGGAATCAAACCCGGTTCTCCAAGATTAGAATCTGCACACTTAACCACTACACCAAACTGGCTGTCCAGGACAAGGCTAGGGTTTCCAGCTCTGGGTTGGGAAATCCCTGGAGATTTGGGGGTTGAAACCGGGGAGGGGGGAGGTTGGAAAGGGGAGGGACCTCAGGAGGGTGTAATGCCATACAGTCCACCCTCCAAAGCAGCCATTTTCTCCAGGGGGACTGATCACTGTTGTCGAGAGATCAGCCGTCATTCCGGTGGATCTTCAGGCCCCACTGGAGGTTGGTAACTTTAGGCAAGGGTGACGTCATGCCAGTCGCTCACAACCTAGTCTACCTCGCAGGGTTACTGTGGGGGTAAAATGGTGGGGGAGCAGGGATAGTCTTCTCTAAGCTCCTTGGAGGAAGGGTGAGATACAAATGTGAGGCACGGGATTAGGCACAAAGAGCGGCCAATGATTTCACGTGATTCGTTTTTATAGGAAGGTTGTTATACAGGGCTCTTTTTGTAGAAAATGCCCAGCAGGAACTCATTAGCATAATAGGCCACACCCAACAGCAGAAACTCATTAGCATATTAGGCCACACCCCTGACAGCACAGCTCATTAGCATATTAGGGCGCACCCCCATGTTACCAGAAGTGTGCTCATCCAGCCACACCCACCTTTTACTTCTTATTCTGTTTACCTTGTTTGTTGTCAAAACCCAGGGCCTTTTTTTGTAGCAGGAACTCCTTTGCATGTTAGGCCACACATCCCTAATGTAGCCAATCCTAATGTGCTATTGGGTGTGGCCTATTATGCTAATGAGTTCCTGCTGGGTGTGGCCAACTTGGGAGCCAGCCGGAACTCCGTTCCTGTTTCCTGCCCCCCAAAAATAGCCCTGTTGAATAAGGCTGGCCTCTCATCAGTCCCAGGGGAAATATGTGTTCAGGGGCCCATAGTGCTGCCTGGAAGCTCTGTAGACTGAACTGGCTCCAAGTCCCTGCTCAGCCAGGAAGGTCACTGGGGAACTGTTGGGCCATTCATCCTTTCTCTGTCTAACCTCCCTCACAGGGGTGTTGTGAAGATTTTAAAAACGCCACAGGTTGGGAGAACCATGTGCACTATTCTTTCAAAGAAGAGTGGATAACAGGGTACTAGGAAGATAAGAGGATGGGTAACCTGCACCTCCTCTTTATACTGACAGCCAGCAGGGTATAGTGGTTAAGAGAAGCGGACTCTAATCTAGAGAACTGGGTTTGAGTCCCCACTCCTCCACATGCAGCCTGCTGGGTGACCTTGGGCCAGTCACCATTTCTCTCAGGACTCCCTCAGCCCCACCTGCCTCAAAAAGTATCTGTTGTGGGGCGAGGAAGGGAAGGCAATTGTAAACGGCTCTGAGACTCCTTAAGGGTAGAGAAAAGTAGGGTATAAAAACCAACTCCTTCTCCTCCGCTTCTTCTGCTTTTGATCATGTGCTCCTTTAAGCCTGATTTTGCTTTCTCTAGGTTTTATGTTGTGAAGTGATCTGTAAATATTTGATGCTGTTTTTATAACAAGGCATACTGTACAGGGGATTTCATGTTTGGCTGATTGGGTGATGTTTTGCTTTCCTCTTTGTTTGCTGTGAGTTGTGTTTTAATATTTGGGAAATTTATTTATTTATTTTTAAATGTTACTCTGAAGTGTAGATGATTGTTAGCCACCTTGAGAATCCCCATATAGAGAGTATGGACTATGAATATTCCAAATAAATAAGGGACAAGATTGCCAAAAGGATATGGATTACAAATATTTCAAAGTCTTTGTTTTTCCCTAAATCTCACGAGATTGCCAAACGAGTACAGATTACGAATATTTCAAATACATCAATAAGGGACCCTGGAGTCTTTGGGTTTTCCTAACCCTTTCAAGAATACCAAGGGGAAAGAAAAGGGTAGCCTCTTCCAGCGAGAAACAGTGCCAGGATGAGGCGTGGGACCCATCTGCTCAGCACCCAAGAATTCCCCGCCAGGTGCTTGCCTGCTTTGGAGTCTTGCAGAGAGCACGCTATTGGGACTTCCAAGGAGAGCTGACCTTGTATGGAACACTCAGCTCCTGGGATCAATGCTCCGGTGGCTACCGCAGCCCTCAACGAAACACACATTTCAAGGAAAACAAAGAAAACTCAAGATCGTAGTCCTCATGCCACCTGCCAGCTTCCTCCTCCTTAGCATAAACAGACCAAATAATTTCCCTTTTCTTAAGTTACAGGGAAAAGAAAGAGTCTCTTCTGGAGGTGCACAGATGTATTTACTTGTACTACAATCTATACATTCTGACAGCACTCCCCAGATCCCCAAAATATATCCAGATGTGCCACATGAGCACACTGGGTCAGATCCAGATTCAATTTTCTGCTAATAGAAGGTACTTCCATTGGCGGGACAGAGTGTTCCTGCCTCACCAGCGCAAACCCATGGATTTTCCTGATATCCTCCTACGGGGGAACACTGGACTCTTGGGAACAGAATGCGGGTCCAACTGGGGGTTTACAGCAGAAAGAGGGAACTGGTGGAAATTACACATCTCCTTCTGTTGGCGGAAAACCCATAAGCTATCCAACACAGTCCTGGAATTATTGCCACATCTGTAAACTTGCCTCATCATAACGGGAGTACGGAAGAAGAAGAAGAAGAAGAAGAAGAAGAAGAAGAAGAAGAAGAAGAAGAAGAAGAAGAAGAAGAAGAAGAAGAAGAAGAAGAAGAAGAAGA